AAAAAAAAAAAAAAATCATGCAGCTATGAAGTAAAAAAATGCATTTAGTTTCCTATTGCAATTTAAATATTTTGGTATTCTATATATTGAATCACATCTTTATTTTATTTCAAGCAAAATTACAATAATTAGAACTGGCCAAAAAGAAGAAGGCCTAGGTATATAGTGAAAAAAAAACAACAGAAAAATTATTATAATGTTCTTTATACTATCTAACCTTTACTTAACCTACAACTGCTAAATCTACCTTTTGTCTATTAAAATGCCATGTAATCTTGGGCTCAGGATAGCCATAGACCCAAAACTCAATGGTGACAGGATGACTCCGAATTCCATACATTGTCTCCTCTTCTCTGCGTATGAACCTTGGTGGTGCAACTAAATATAATAAAAAAAACACCTTACATACATATTATTTCAACAAGATTATCATTAAAAAAGTCATAAACAAGAAAGAAACTTGATATAGCTTCTACATGTGGTCTGGCAAATGATATATATTACTTTAACTCCATTTTAACTCCCAACATCCCTTAAGAGTCATCAGTCTTGACTGTAAAGAATTTTACATGGTAACAAAGCACTTAAACTTTTTTGACATATGACTGAAGAAATCATCGATGAAACTTTGAAAAATAAAGAAAAATGTTTATGCAGTTTGTTACGATAAAATCTCAATTTTTGAGAGTTGCCTCTATCACGCTGAAAGTAAAATATTGAAAGAAAAACAAGTATCCCCTGCCATTAAAACTAATTTTAAAGTTTTAATTCAGATGAAAAATTACAGAGTTGTATAGTCTTGTATTTTCATTTCTGGATATTAATAGATCTAGTTTTAGGTAGGATTCTTACAATGTTTCTCCAGAGGAGGATGTTCTATTTCATAGTCCTTCGGCTTATATTCACCAGGGACAGGCGGTTCTAGCTTACTACGATATGCAGTGGTATATGGTGAAGGATCACTAGTGCCGTACTTGTTTTCGACTCTCACTCTAAATCGGTAATCTTTTTTGGGCTCCAGACCTCTTATATCGCACATAGAATCTTTGATACCTAACAAGTATGTCTTGAGTCAATATAACTATATACAACACAGTCTCTCTCTCTCTCTCTCTCACACACATGATATTATGAGAGTCTGTTTATTCATTTCTTTGTTTTGTGAGCATAACTTTAAAGCTTCATAAAAATTTTTATCCTTCTAAAAATTTGAGAAAAAAACATAAGACATTAATCACAACTGCTTATATTTCATATAATTATCTATCTTAACTGAATATCCACTATTAAAGCCTTTGAAAATTAGAAAATGTACAAAAAATAAGCTAAGTACTAATATTCACAGTAAAAATACTAGTAGAATAGGACATTTCAAGTATTGATATTTAAGTTAACCTATATAAAAAAATTAAGTTGAGTAAAATCTTTGTATTTTACCCACATTTTTATAAAAGCTATTAAACTATTTCAAAAATGGGAGATAGTGACATCATGTGATGTATACAATAAAATTCCAAACCATTAAAAGTTGATACATTTTTATTTCAAGCATTCATCATACTTAATTCCATACTTGATAGATTCTTATTCCCCACTAGACCATCAAGATTTTATTCATTGTACAAAATTGATTTCAACTACCTGATCTGTATGGAGACCAGTCTCCATCCGGAAGTCTACAGAACTCTACAGAATACGTGACTGGAACTCGAGGTATAATAGGGATAGAGGGATTCCATCTTAACGTCAAGGAATCATCCGTCATCCTTGTTATACGTGGCACATCTGGAAGTGGACCTGGAGGACCTATAAATGGACATAAGAAACTTAGAATAAAATTCAAATATATAATAAGCTGGATATCTGCATGCAATATATAAAAGTAAACCACTTTATTATGTATGTTATTGAATTCATCTCCAGCTAATTTCATAAATGTACATATCTGGTATCATTATTACACAATAAATGGTGTAAATTATAGAAGTCAGATGTTCAATAATAAGTAAAGATGCCCTTATAAATTATGTAGAGCAAAATTATTACGAAAAATATTAATAATATCATTACTAACTTTTTGTCTGTCTACCTCCTATACATTTGTTAATGTTTGTTTTCACCACCAAATACCCAGAGAACAAGTCGCAATTCCAATAAATAATTACATTTTTAAACTTCCATTATTTTCTGCAAAAGCTGTTGTTACTTATTTCAACAATTCCAATAAAAAACATTTGATTACTATTTTATCTATTGGTCTAACAATGTTAACAGCAAAAGCTCATGTAATACTAGAATGAAATTCTCTGAAACGTGGGTAAACCTAAGGAATAGATTACCCTAACAAATAGTAAATACAATATTTCAGTGTGCTACTATCATTAGGTATTGATGAAGAAACATTTCATCATTACAATATTGAACCTTTGAAACTCCTAGTTATTTTAAAACAAGACTTATCCACCTGATTTTAAAGCCTTCTCACGTTCGGCTGCCTCTTCACCACATGGATGGGGAACCGGACTGTCTTGAATGTCTAAAAAAAATTAAGTTTTTTTTTATTAGAATAGTGTGTGTGTGTATATATATATAAATTTTATTTGTAGTTTTTGCTAATGTAAATTTACAACACTATACCTCAATACAGTATGAAAACAACATTCAACCTTACCTTCTATAAACAGCTTGGCAGTACAGGTATCGCTTCCGTACGGGTTAGAAATGGACAGACGATATTCTCCGACATCTTCTGGCTGAACACAATGAACAATTAACCGTACAATGCCATTTTTTTCCTCTTCCATCTCAAAATGTGCACCAGGTTCCAGTTGCTCACCATTCTTGAACCTGAAATTAAAGTTATTGAAAATGACCGAGCATCATAAAATACACAGAATTGCAAGAACAACCCACAAAAATAATTTAAGAATTCTGCAAATGGGACTCATATTTAAAAACAGACTCTAATCCATTATGGTACACATTACTGCCCTGTATGTTAATGTTTGTGATACTGTATGAAAATCACTGTTCATTAACAGTTAGTGCAGGTAGGAAATTTGTTGTATATGTGGTAACCTACACATTGTAGAGACTGATAGACATGTAGACCAACAACTGAAATAATACAAAGATGTAGCCAGACTATTGAAAACCAACAGATCAGCCATAACAGAGCATGCTGTTATTACTAGCCACCAGAATGACCACACTTGGCATCTAATCAGATCAAATCCTCTTCATTCAGATGAATTTTCACTGTTAAAAACCAGATAAAGTCATACGTCCAAAATGTTGTCCAGATTTAATCCTTTTGAGGTGGACTATCTACTGTACACAATAAGATTGTGAAACATTTATTAATTTAAAATAAATAAAAACTGCTAACATCAGACCTCCCAAACTTATGTATGTGAACAAAAACCTCTGAAAATATATCCACTCTCTACTCTGGTGTACACATTATTCTGTGTTATGCCAAACATTAACACTTGTGCTCAGAATCAGCATATACTAAAACCCAGATATACCAAGTAATAAATATATAAACAATGACAAGCATTAAGCCAAATATTTGTGACAAAAATCACATCAGACTGTAGATATTGTTTACCATCTTACAGTTTAAAAACCATAAGAACAATCCACAATGTGTCCCCTAACACATTTGAGTCTAATAATAACCTTTTAATCAAACACACACAAAAAATCCATTTAATTTCTTATTCTTTAATGATAGAAAACAATTGAAAAAGATGTAATCTGGTTTATAAATTAAAACATACCATTTAATTGTTGGTTTGGGAACCCCAGTAACGCAAGCTGTAAACCTGGTAGTTCTTCCTTTCATTATTCCACAGTCTCTGATCTTCTTCAAGAACATAGGTGCCTCTCCCTTTGGTGCCTTGTCACTAAAATCCACAAAAGAATGCTTTGTTACTTCTTATCATAGCCCAAGAGTTCTTATTGAATCAAAAATGTATAATAAATCTTGTAAAAACTCTGCTTGTGAAAGGAGCTGTGGTTATACAAAAAAACAACAACTGTGAGCTCCAGAGAAAATTTCAAGTTGTTTTATTTGTTCAACATTATTTTTTCATTAAAATTAATTTTATTTATTAAACTTTACAATGTTCAGCAAGACAAAAACAATAACAAGCGGTTTGATTTTTAACCTTTTACCATTTTTTTAGCATTTTATAACTTTAAGTTCTGAAATTCTATTGCTATATCCAAAGATAGTTAAAAAAAGTGCAAATACTGTATAATTTCTATAATACAACTATGTCACCCACATACCATTCCTTATATGAAAATATTTGTTGACTGTGTAATATGGATAATATGAAAATTACATAAATATACATAAGGTAAGGGTGGCAGTTGCCTCCCCTACACCTCTCCAGTACTATGTAGTATATAATACAGTCACATAAAAGATTACTAATATTTTCTTCACTTATGAACAAACGTACAGTACAGAAACTAGTCTATATATTGAATTGACCCAACTTAACCCCCCCCCTGAATGTTTCTAAAAAGATGCCACTGTATACAATGTACATTGAATATTTACAGGCTAGGTTTAAATCATATTTTGCAATTGTCCTTCCTTTAGGAAATTTATTTTCATTTAGGTAAGACCTTGAGTTGCCTAATACCAATTAAAAAGGCTGACTCATTAACACCAGATACAACTATAAAAGAGGGTCATCATAAACGTACCAGACTTTGACCTCTGCTGAGCAACGAGCCTCACCAACTGAGTTCTTGGCCCTACATTCATACTGCCCACTATCTTTTGTACGTGGTCGAAATAAGGTCAAAGTGCAGAGATCTCCTTCACGAGACATGCAGTACTTCAGACCTGGTTCATTCAAACTACCATTAAAATACCAGTCAATTTCTGGTGCAGGGTCTCCTGTTACACGACACATCAATTTCGTTGGTTCACCAGCAGGAACCTGTTCACATCCAAACAGAAAACAATCTCATTAATTTCATATCTTACAGAAACATTTAGTCGTATTACATTGGTTGACGTGTTGGATAATGTGATAACTTGTAACCAAAGTTTCTAGGTACTTGTAATATGTTATAGTTTGGAAAAAAGTGTTCTTATTAAAGTATTAAAAATTATTAAAATAAAAAAGAGCTAGATTAAGCATCTATAGCCTCCTGTCAATGAATTAAATGTTTTGTACTAAATTTAATGAAAATATTTTGTTACGTTTCACGAACCAATATTTGTTTCACACACATTGAACTCAATCTAATTCCTGTCCTGGCTGTCCAATAATAGTTTTTTTTAATAGGTTTTCATTGAGGCCAACTGGGAAAATACTTTGGGTATTTTAAAAAAATAAAAAAGTTGTTAAGGAGAGGTCCAAGACAAGTATTACCCTATACTATTTCACAACCATTACTTCATATCAGATGTGACTTGTTGATTAGCATATTCAAAATTATAATAAAATATACTCAACCCCCTGTTTTTGCAATTAGCAGATAATTCTATAACAGCTTGTTAACTTATTCTAACCTCCTTCAGAGGATACTGATCAGTGATTATTGATAGAAAAGCACAAATAATATATGAATATATTATAGTCAGATATGATGAATTTATAGAATAAACTTGGTTAAAGATGATATCTATCAGATCAACTTAATAACTCGGTTATCAAATCAAACAATAGTCCTACAGCAGCAACAATTTTTGCAAAATTCTTTTAAGCAAATTGCTCTTGTTTTTCAACAAGGGAATAAGTCTTAATACAAATAATATACATATCCATATTTACATCAAGATCAGCAAGTTGTTGGATAAATTTGGGTGCCGAAAGAGCAGCAACTTTTGCTCGTCCTCTCGAGCGTGCTTCCCCTGAAGGATTTACCAAATGACACTCATAAATTCCTGCATGTTGAGGATTTGATTTCTTAATTTCCAATACAGCCTGTAGAAAAGACAAACGAACAATCATGATTTTACTCATTTTATAAGGTGGACTATCTGCACTATGTCCACCATAGGATTTCAGCATAATAAGCATGTAAAACTTACCACAGTTAGTTTTACTTAAGTGTACATGAGTTCTGATTCACACTTATCAAAAGGAAAAATGGATTTTATTAAGAGGTTCTTCATATAAAAAAAAACAAGTCTCCAAGTCCATTTTTAAGAAAAAATAAGCTAAAATAGTTGGCTGTAATATAAAAATATTTTTTATAGACTCACTGGCTAGAAAAATATAGTTTTTTTGTAAGTTTCCTTCCTAATTTTTAATGCCAAATAACCAATTTAAAGGTGAGCGATGTCAGATTCTTGTTGATAAAACGTCAAAAGTTGGTCATTGCATGGATGTAGAACATTTGAAAAAAAAAATTTCTTCAAGGAACAAAATGCTTTAAAATCTAATTGTCTCCTCCCCATCCCACAAAAAGTAGAATATAACTTTTATGATATTGTTTTTATTTAACAGAGAACATGACCAATACAATGCCAATGGTGGCTCTTTTTAAATGGCTTATACTGTTTTTCAATATTTAGTAATTAGGATTTCACAATGCAGCGTGTCAAATACTCCATGAATGAGCAAGAAATCATGGTTTACATTAATGCTCACATGAGCTAAAATATTTAATATATACATATAAAACATTTTAGAGTTGACAATTAATCTTTACTGGGCCCCTTCTTTAGTAAAAACAATGTAATAATATCATTGTGTTAATTTAAATATGTTTGTTACTGTCTGTATGACTGAGGGTGTGTGAATTAAAGGGATATGTATATTTGTATATATTGTTTTGGCTTGAGGTTTAGAGGTGCACATTTTATAAATGTTCATGTGTATGTGCAAGACTTCAGTAGTTCAGAGTTTTCAAAACATCGTGTGGTTTTCTAGAAATCTACTTAGACAGCTTTTCTAGCAACAAAATGAACAACATGAATAAAAAACTACTTGTCCAATGAGTAAAGTATAAAGGTAAAATCATTGTCCCAGGATTTGGGCAATATTATACAATGTTATTGCTCTGTATTATGCTTGAAATGAAGTCTAGTACACATTTCTCTAACTTGCTGAAAAGAGATAATATAAACTGTTAGTATGTAATTCCTAAAATGTGGATAATTCTTGCATTTCATTGCCTAGAAATTGACCTTCTGAAATAACGTATTTAGCTCAAATTGGTATGCAAATTATATAGTTGTACAGGTCATTTTAATAAAAAAATAGAACCACTTTTAACATATAGGTTTTATAGGTTCACTACAGACCTGAAAACTTAATTTATGAATATTATCAAGATATTTATAATCCCCTTGATGATAGTTTTTGCAGTAAATTCAAAGTTGACAGAAAGTTTAGTATTTCATAAAATAATCTAGGCTTTCTGGTTACGCACAATAATAATAATTTTACAAAAAATATGAAATTAAATATGACCTTTAAACTATATTTTTTTGTGCAATGAATTTTTTCAAAACAACTCCTATAATATTCTGCCCCACTTCTACACTGCTAAAATCTCAGTGTGACCTCAAAGATGTTATTGAAACTTAAAAAACCCAGTTGTAAAATGAGATGAATTTCACTGCCAGTAAGAATAAGAAGAGGAAATCCTTAATAGCTATGGCACTTGAAATTATTTTAGGCAGGATTAGATTAAATTAATGTATGACCTTTTTTTTTTCCCGTTTTATTAACTACATTATTTTGCATCAACAATACAAAACATGTGGTGCATGTATACATGATTAAATTTTATTATTCATCAGGATCTCAACCAGCCTACTTTAAAATTGAAATTATTTTAGGCACGATTAAACTAAATTAATCTATGAGACCTTGGGTGTGATCAAATACATCAATTGAAAGGGTTTGACCTCCTGAGTACAAAACTGTAATTAGATCTCAAATCGGTCAAAATATGAAAGAGTTATGAGCCACAGCTAAAAACTCTCAGCAAATTTTCAACAGCATGATAGCAAACAAACTTTATAATATTCACTTCAGTAACTGATTTTCATCATATTAAATTCAACTTGCCTTCTTTCCATCGAATATTTTGTGAACATTGTCCGATGCCAAAAGGGGTTGTTCATGCAAGTACCATCTCACTTCAGGTAATGGATTTCCTGACACAGTAGTTTCAAACCTGAGTGGTTCTCCTTCCTTGACAGACAAGTCTCCCAGTGGAGACAGAAATACAGGTTCTGACTGTGGCTCCTCTGCTTTCTCTCGTCCTACCAAAGAGTAGATAAACATTTTTTTGGGATACGAAACTCCAATATAGGCTAAACTAATACTGTATTCACAAGCCCTGATGATGGTAACGGTATTACCAAAACTAGTCAGCTGAAACAACTAAGACTATTTTTCATTGTGGCAAAAACAATTTTCTTTTTAACAATTAACATTCAGAAGCAAAATGTGCCTAAAAAAAAGAATTTATAGAATAAAAATTATTCATGAATAAGATCAACATTAAACTCACAAGCATGAATAATGAAAATTAAAGAGACAGTAATTGCTACAGTGGACATTCCTATGTGTCAATCTTTCAGTGTGAAATCTAAATCTAAGACACTAATATAGTTTTGTGAATTCTTTGTTTCAGATATTCAAGCAAAGCTACACAAGAGCTATCTGCACCAACCATCTCTAATTTCGAACTGACAAACTAGAAGGTAGGCAGCAAGTCAACAGCACTCACTGTCAACTCTTGAGTACAGTCACTCTTATAGTCAAAGTGCAGAACATGATTTTGAAGCAAAGGGATGTGAACCAAAGACTCTCTCAGACTCGCAATAAACCATGCCTGGTCCAAAGTAAGTTTTTTTAAATTAAAGGTCAGAATGGTCCAGCTATGATGTTCATTAGATTGACAGTGTTATCTAATTTGAATTTCTTAATGTTAACTTAGTGAACAGAAAACACCAACACGAAAAGTGCACTATTTGATGAACAATAGTGAAATTTGTATCATGTATGATAAAATGTTTAACACCAACGTGAATACTGTTGTGGTTTGTGAGCAGTATAGCACCATACTAGTGACAGATAAATGTAGCTTGTAAGGAAAGGATCATTAAACTTGATAGATGAATCATAAAATATATGCTTGCCTTTGACTATTAAATCTCCTTCTGAAGATGCCTCACCAAATGGGTTCTTGGCAACACATGTGTATTTAGCAGCATCATCAGGAGTGGTGTGAGAAAAGAGTAGAGAATTTACTCCATCTGGTGTACAGAGAGCCTTAATATTTTCTCCATCTGGCTTGAACTCTTGACCATTTTTCAACCTACATATTTAAAGAGTTATTCACAAAAAAATGTCACAACTGGTTAGCAATTGTATTTAATGATTTCGTAAACAAAAAAGTGCATGTACCAAAGGAAACATTAAAACACATAATAAAATGACCTACAGTGGAAATGTAGATAGCAAAAGTTTCAAATCAATTATCGTGACTCTCACTCACAACAGGCACCTACTAATATTCTGTTTATATTTACTAATTTATATCATTTTCTCTTCACCAAAAAGATAAGTTTGATAGAGTACAGTAGAGGTAAAGAGTATGAAATAGGACTAATATTACAGTCTTCATGCTGTTTTTAGATGAAAACTTGACTTTTCTGTTTGTTTTTGTTTTGTATTTTTGCCACAGAAAGTCTTATGAGTTCCAAAGTTTAATATGTGAATTTAAAGTGTAACAAATGCAGGGTATGTAATAATTATTAATCTGATAATAGCTTTACTGCAGAAAATTACATATATAATATATAGCTTTTTTTTCCGGTGAATTAAAAATTAAGCTCGAAAAGCACAATTCCTTTTAATTAGTATTTAAAATGAATATCACAGTAGAACAGACATGTTTCTAAACATTTCGGTTTGACCTGTCCAATACATTTCTAGCATGAAAATTACATTATAGTATTTCAGTAAAATTTTGCTATAACACACAGCTTTATACTAAAAACTAGTATAGTGTTATAGGTTAAGTTTAGTGTGTAAAATATTTACAGTCATAATTTCTTAGCACTGATTGTGTATGAAGCTAGTTATCACAACTTCTTGAGCACTATTTCTTTATATTTAGGTGTACTTTGTACAAGTGGATACTTGTTTTGTAAATATCTCTATTACATAAAATTATTCTTATGCATAAATTCAGTTTAATAAAACTTGCCAAGAAATCTCTGCAAGTTCTAAGCTTCATAGGGTAGTAAATGTCTGTTTATGTTGTTAATTAGTTATAAATTGTGTGTGTGTTGTCAGAAATTAAATTTTTAACATCTGTGAGGCAATATATCCAAAACTATAAATGTCGGCCAATAATAAGACATAAAAGTATCATTACGTTTATGTAATTTCAGATTTAAGTGTCACTACTAACTTCAAACAAATACACATTAAGCATGTTTGTAAAATATATTATTTTCAAGAAAAATTATATGTTAATTCTGGTTTCTTTAAAATCAATTCTCAGACCATACCATTTCACTTCAGGTTCAGGAAAGCCAGTGAGCTGTGCCTCTAGTTTTGTAGGGAATCCTTCAATACCAGCAACTGATTGCAAAGGTTTCACAAATATAGGAGGTTCTATAAAGAGTTAATAAACCAACTCTGAGTAGAAATTCCATGAATACAAAATCCTATGATAAGGATTATCCCTAGAAATTCAAAGACAATCTAAAAAAACACAACATTAATGTCAAATAGTTAATCAAGAAGTATCATTTTAAATTACAAAAATAATGGTACTTTCACTTTTGATTTTTTTATACAACTAAAATAAAACAAAACCTTCACGGGTTAGAAAAGTCCTACATAATGTTTTATACTTAGTTTATTAATTTCAATAAGAATCTCCATAATAAACAAGCTTGCAAACTATCTAGTTCTTAAAATTAATGAAAGTATCATAGATAAACAACAACAACAACAAAAACTCAAATATTACAGAGCAATTGGTTAAGTTGCTAAGAATAAAACTAATTTTTAATATAGCAAGTAATATAGGAGGTTTTTTTATGAGACCTTTAATATACAATATTGGTCAGTTGAAGCAATCACAAAAAAGAGTCACGACCAAAACTTACGACTAACTGAGACTGGTGCACTAGTTCTTGTTTCACCTTCATCATTGGCTGCAATAACAGAATATTTCCCAGCATCCTCTGGCTTGACTTTGTCAAAAACAAGTCCTACAGTTCCATCTGGTTGTTGCTTGAAACTAATACGATCATTGGGAAGAATTTCCTGGCCATTTTTCAACCTTTCCAAAAGCACATAAGGCTATTATAATCATTTTAAGATATACGGGTTATTTTGTATGCATTTTGATCCGATTTTCTCATTAATTGAAAATTTGTTGAAAAAAAAAACTGCTAAACAAACTTTTGTCCTAACAAGTTAAAAAGTGGCTTTGGGAAAATATTTCTCGTATGTTCAATAGTTTGTGATTTAAATGTGAACATCAATATTAATGTTCTGTGAATAACTAATCATTAAACACACCGGTTTACTCGTTTCATGAATTTGACTGAATCAGTCATTAAAAGAAACTTGCTATTCTGCAAATTTTAAACTACTGAATTAATCATACACACACAAACACACAGTCCTTTCAACATGAATAATAGCCAAAACATCAAACAGTATAATAATTCGATGTTTGTAATACCCAAAGTTCTAAAAAACTAAATAAAACAATTATAATTCTTCTACACTTTATGTGCTTTTAAAGCCTTCCAACAAAATACACATATTTTGCAAATATTAAATTATAATGTTATTAAAAATATTAAATCACTGGCTGTTATTATTTGTTTCTAATAAAATCATACCATTTCAATTCTGGTGTGGGATCACCTTTGATATTAGCTTCTATTCTTCCAGGATGTCCTTCTGTGAGTGTGACAGGCTTCAGGCTTTCTACAACCTCGGGCTTCTTCTTTGGATGAGCTTTGTATTAAAACTATGTGGATTTAGTTAATTCCAAATTATCTATTTTCACACTTAGCTATAACTTTTTTTTTTCACTAATTGGTTTCCTGAAAATTTTTCTCACTATATTAACCAAACGGTATGTGTATTCTTCCACAACAATGTTTTAACTTTACCAGTAATATAAAAATAACTAATACTAAAATATCTTTAAAATATTTCAATATATATTTTCATTAAGTTTTAAAACTGCCTTGATTTTTCATTTACAAAGTTTCATTACTTTTGGATTTTGTGTTGAAGTCAATATGAACATAACCAACAAATGAATTTTTTGTATTAGGATACTAGTCCAAAAACTGATAATATTTCATTCAATTGTAAAAGGTCGTTATTCAAAAAATTATGTAATTCCAACAGCAAACACCCTAGTGTTTTCCATTCAAGTGCTTCATTATTATAGTCCAAAATAGTAACAGAAACCTTTCAATGTGAATGGTTAAAGTTGAATCATGTAAACTTTAGCTTTGTGAAGGCTTATAAAGAGACCTATAACAGAAGTCAAAGACACCATACAGTTAAGGACAGTTAAATACCATTATATGTTCTGTGTACGGTACAAACAGTAAAGTCCAGAAAAGGTTACATTGTAATCATTTACACTCACAGAAAGTTTAAAATTTATGAAAAAAACAACAACAATATATTAAAATATATTCAGATACCCAATAATACTACTTAAGCCAACAGAAGAGATTGTCTTAATTGAAATAAAGATCTTAAACAATGTACAATAGAACTGTCACATAAATATGGTATGTAATCTTCTACCTTTAAGACTGGATGATTCCATAAAGGATAAGACGTTCTAATTCCTTATTAAAACCAATAATGCTCAATATTCTTCACATGTGTGATAATGAACTGGTGATAAAATAATTGAATAAAACTATTAAATTACCTCAAATTTGAGCAAGATAAGTAAAAAATAATGGATTTATACAACTTTGGGCACTAAATCTTTGAATATATTACATAGGAAAGGAAAAAGAGTAATGCGGGTCACTTACCATTCACCTCAGCCTGTGCTGCACTACGAGTTTTTCCTTCACTATTCGTTGCGACCACAACATATTTTCCAGCATCATTCAAGCTTGCATTCTTAACTAGCAGAGACAATGTTCCATCGGGTTTACTTGTGATAATGACCTGTTCACTTGGCTGAAGCACTTCACCATCTTTCATCCTGGATTTTCCCAAAACCGTAAGATTATTGACCAATTTTCAAAAACATTATCTCACAAGCACTAAATTTTGAACAAAGTAAATCTTAAACATTATTTACAAATTTTTCTATATATATACATACATACACACATACACCAGTGAGACTTCTGAATCACAGAAAAATAAATCTCAAAGGAAAAGTAGCATTAAAATATAAACATGTTTCAGTATAGATCTTTTACTTAACACTCAAAAATTTCAACACTGAAATATAAAAAATAGCTTCATTTCAGAATACAAGGTGATCTGAAAATTGTTGTCCCAGAGCATTATACTAATTATCTTCAATTTTAATTGGTTTCAGATTAATGTAAACAATACAAATTACAAAAGCAACGAAAAATAGTCTTACAAAGGGGCAAACAGTTTTAATGTTGTAAATCAAATGTTATCAACACAAAACAGATTTAAGTGTAAAAGAACCTCGTGTTTGGTCCCCCCTGTGGTACTTCAAAACATTTCTTACCACTTAATAGCTGGTTCAGGATCACCAGTCACTTGAGCATGAAAGTTTAAAGGTTCTCCTTCAGTTACTGATGTTGGTTCCAATCCCTTCAGAAATTCTGGTTTCTTGCCTTTTGGTACTTCCACAACCTTTGGAGTAGCTGTAAACCAAACAGTTCTATTACTACATACATAACTTTTGTTATACATTTATCCCCTTGCTATAACAAAAGCTACATACTTTGACACTTTCAAGTTTTCTACTTTAGTATATATTTTCAAACCAATTATTCATTCACTGGTACAATGTGGTTATAAAGTCTTCCACCACATACAGAGAGATGTAGCTCAGACATGACACTGTAAATTGAGTTGAAATTCATGAGGTATGACCATGATGTGATGTAGTGGAGCTGTTTGCATTTCATGCAGGTAACTGAGTAAGAAGCATGAGTCTGCACAAGAAACAGCCATAGTGAAGGTCTTTTACAAACTAAGAAGCAATGCTACAAAAGTAATGTAGTAGCACTATGCCACAAAAAAATGCCACTTTTTTGTGTCATTGTGTCCGACTCTTGAGTTCTAAATGGCTTCAAAGTATCACCCTCATGAAACAATGACAAGCATTTTAGAAATTATCAAAATATTTTGTAACAACAAATTTTGTTTAGTTATGAATAATTCAATTTTATTCAGATGTCATTCAAAAAATTACCAAAGCTTGATACCATTCTTTCACTGTTTGCTCCAACTGTAAGCAGATGAAAACAAAAACAAATTAACATTTGAATATTTAAATCCAAGTTAGAAAAGAAAACTCACTGGTAACTTTAGCTTCAGTTTTTGCTTCCCCTTTATCATTACTGACAACAGCAGCATACTTTCCTGCATCTGCAGGAACAACTTCATCAATAAGTAAAGCCATGATTCCATCAGATTCCTCAACTGGAGTAAAATGTGTACTCGGAGAAAGTTTCTTTCCATCTTTAAGCCTGAAAAAAAATGTATTTTTTGTTTCAAATACTGCAACGTGGTAAAGCATTGGAAATCAATAAGCCTGATATTTGCAATAAAAATCATGCCACTTACAAACATTTGTTCATAATTCTCTTAATTTGTCCATTGTGGATTTAATGTGAAATCCGTAATAAATAAAGAGGAAGGTTTTAAACATATGCAGCCTAGGATAATTTTCATTATATAACCCAAATAATTTCTTCTGATTCAAAATTTTACATCTGTATGTACAAATACTAACAATGCTCTTATTTCAATATACGGCTTAAAAAAAAGATACATTTACTGTTGTAAATAAAATTAAAATAAGGTTAATTATTTTGTATGACACACACATTAAAACTGTTTTCTTTATATACTGTTTATTCAATTTTGAATTTTCACAGCAGAATAATGGCAATAGCATATATCAAAGTCTAAAAATTTCTGAAAATTTGAATATTAATTCATCAAAACAATGCAAATAAATATATCACATACTTTGAAATCATTTTAATTTACATCTTTTTATCATAAAATGAGCTCTTAAACCTAACCATTGAATGTCCGGTTTGGGCTCTCCAGTGATTTTCACCTCCAAACGTGCAGGTTCACCTTCGGTAAATAAAGTTGGGAACAGACCTTGCTCTATTTCAGGTTTTTTAGCAGGTGGAGCAGCTGCAAAAAAAAAGCATCAATAATTATTAAAAATATTACATAACATTATGATAATGAACATTATTAGAATAATGGATAAGTTTTATAATGTAAAAACATTTGAATACTTTATGATAAAAAGATGTTGAGATTTTTAAAGTTGTTAGAATTTTTTTTAACCTTTACAATCTCAAATAACATATATATAAAAAGATCATTACAATTAATCTTGTATTAAAAAACAAAATTATGAAAAATAAGTCACAGCTTCATAGAGAGTAAGAACAGTTCCGAAAAATCTCAAAAAAATAACTTCACACCAGCATTTTCAACCAACAATAGACTAATTTGTTAGGAACAAGGCCTATATCACATTAAATATAGTGAACACAATGAGTTAAAGACTAATTTTTGACTGAAAGAGAAGTTTAACAATTTATTATTATGAAAAATGCTTTGTGAACACATGGAACTAATTATGAAACAAATCATATGGTTTTTATCGCATCTGTCTTCATGTATGAGTATATAACCGCCCCCATCTAAATTTTTTCTTTTACACAGACCAACAAAAATCTGAAAAATCAAAATGACTTTTTATCTGACTGATTTCTATCCATTTAAAGAAAAAATTGTAAACAACTAGCAACTGAAACTAAACATCTGGTTTTTAATACAAGAGTTAATTTTTGAGATCTGGTTCATATTAATCTAGTATTTTATTATTCTTTAAAACTCATCTCTGATTTATCCATTTTAGATTGATTAAAACTTATGCCATTCAAATTTGAAGAGGCTGGTTAAAAAGAAAAAAAAAGAAATTGTGAAAATACAAAAGATGCATTTCTTGTGTAAAACAAATTACAGAATTATTTTAAAGTAAATATATGAATTTCTGTAAAGATTAAATATCCATTTCTTTTCTTATTCCTCTCATGTCACACTGTACTAATAATGACTGACCTAGAACATACCAAACAGTGTAATGCACACAGTTTTTAAGCTATAAGTAATAGGAACAATATATTAATAGAAACAAACAACCTTCTCCCCCCCCCCCAAAAAAGACAGAAATGTGTGTAGAAAACACGAAAGCAAACATACTTTTAACCTCAGCATCATACTTTGTTTCTCCTTGATCATTACTAGCCACAAGAGAGTATTTCCCAGCATCCTCTGGGGTAACCTTGTCAAAAGATAATACTACAGTACCATCTGGCTGTTCTTCTGGTGTCAAGTGGTCACTTGGTTTGATGTCGTTTCCGTCTTTCTTCCTGAAATAAATGAATAGGAATTGTATACGAATTATTTTATTACTTTGATGGCCATGTGACATTAAAAGCAACATAAAAATTGAAAAAATAACATCCTCAGTCGTAAGGGTTAATGTTAGTTTTTCAAAATGATATTTTAAACTTGTTTAAAATAAATACAAATAAAACAAAATCATAAGGTGTTCATTAATTCTAATATCATAATTCTTTTATTACACAGTATTACAGAATTCGTTGTTTTTATGTCATAGCTGAATCTTAGCTACACAATTGGATATCTGTGCTGTGCCCATCAAGGATATTGAAACCTTACTAATCTTCAGACTTACCACTGAACAGTAGGCTTAGGTTCAGCTGTAATTTTTGCTTTCATTTTGGCTGGTTCCCCTTCAGTTAAAACAGTAGGCTTTAGTTCTTCAGTGAACTCTGGTTTCTTCTTGGATTTTTCTTCTAATGCAGGTGATGGTGATATAAAAATTTATGACAAAATTCTTTTGACAGACAAGCCTTTTAAATTTATTTTTTACATGTAAGTACAGCTAAAAAGTAAATTTTATTCCAAATAATTACTACAAGTGTAAAAATGATCTCCTATTATTCTGCAAAACATACCCAGAAAGTACTACACTACTTCCTGCTATAAATCTTAAAAAAAGCATGGTTAAAAACAGACAAAGATTTATCAGTAACCTACAACCTGACCTCTTACAATGGCATCAACTCTATCTTTGTCAGGCTAGGTAATCACATTTTTGCTAAAACAAATCCTTGGTCAAAATCAATTCATATATAATAAATATAGCTTCTTTTCAATAAATTATATGTCGTTTTACTTATTTAAATACAGCAAACTTAAGAATAATATATAAGTATTTGAGTCATCACATAGGTTTGCCATCACATACAATACTCGCTAAACCTACATAACATTATCTAACATCTTGTCACAGATAAAAATTGCCACAACTGTCAAACATATAATTTAGCACAAAAACATTTTCAGAAATAATAAAAAGGTTATTAAAAAACACTTCCATATCTGTGGTTTTTACCAAGTCTTCTAAGCTTCCCATTATGTTTCTTTGTTCATCTCTAAAGACCTCAGTCTAGTCATATTCCCACAAAACCATATAATTACTGCTTATCACCTCTTTATTTATTCTACACTGACATAAACTGTTTATAATATCCTCTAACATAACCAGTGATATTCAAATTTTGCCAGTAGGTATTTTAAAAGATATGCTTCAATAGTGATCATTCAAACTACATGGTGTGACATCATAAAATGGTGGAAACAAAGGGCTGTAATAATAAAATCATGAAAGAAACGACAAGATATGGTTAATTACATTCTCAAGGGATGATAGTTTCTTAGCAAATATAAACCTATGCATTGTGATGGGCAGAAATTTTTTTTAAATCTATAATAGAATTATATACAAGACTCCTCAGATCTGTGCAAAGATTTAAGTTTGACTTTTATTTTTCTTTATAAATTATGCTAAAATTTACATGATAAGAAAATAACAATTTAAATTATTTTTGAGTTAAAAATTGTTGAAATAGTTAGAATCATTGATTTTACTCAAAATTTTGAAATTTGATATGCAGATGTGCACTCAACACTTGAAAGGTACTCACTGGTGGTAATAGTTAATGCAAAAAGTCCTGTTCATATATTGTGTCAAATATTGATATCAATACAGAAAATTGTAATAAGAGTATCTGTTTAGTGTGTAAATAAACCACAGTTAAATAAAAGAACAATAACATTAGCACTTCCAAAAAGTAAACTTTCCTTATTTAAGAAGGAACTGAAATTTAGAAAGAAGTACCAAGGTGAAATTTAATAATTTATGGTGATTTTTTTCAATAATGCCACTAATGGTCATCTAACTATCACTCTTCTTAATAATAAAACTTTTAACTATTAAACAATAAGCATTCATTTTCTATTTTTAAAACAATATATCATATCTAGCCAGTTCTCATACCTTTGTACATGACTGGAGCTCCTGTAGTTGCTTCTCCTGCTTCATTGGCTGCTTTGACAACATATTCCCCAGCATCTTCAGGAGAACAGCTGTCAATTTCAAGAATAACAGTTCCATCTGGCTTCTCACATATTTTGATGTGGTCACTGGGAATGATCTCCTCTCCATTCTTCAACCTGAAAAAAAGATAAGATTATATACTAGATTTTCAAAGAATAACAATAAATCAAATAACTGAAAACACATCTAGCAAACAAACTCACAAGTCATTCATACTTATTATGTCTCAAATTATCAACCTATTTTAAATAGTTTACATATTGCATTATTTAGAATAATTTTATGTTAAGCTGCTACTTAGGTATAAATAAATAACCAAAAAGTTTGGTAAAAACACTCATTTTTTGTGCAAAGTACATAGAGGATTCCAGCCGTAGTTAATGGGTTTAATTGCAGTATTGACAGTAGTTATATATTTAATTTTTGTTGTTGTTTAACTACTGTGTTTTTGAGGGCCCTGTAACCAACAAAATCATAAATCCACATGCAATTTGATATATAAATAGTTTACAAAAATGTGTTTAAAAAGTCAATGTGGTTGTAGCTACTGTGGTAACTCTACAGAGTTAAACTCATCTTAACACAACACAAACATCCTGCTTTTATGTCTCTAATATTTTCCTGTGACAAACAGCATTACAAATTGGTTTGGTTTGAATTTTGTGCAAAGCTACACGAGGGCTATCTGCGCTAGCCATCTCTAACTTAGCAGTG